ACCGCACTCCAGCCTGCGCGACTGAGTGAGATCCCCTCAGCCCTGAAAAAGAAAACAGCTGAAACCCGCGTCTCTGCTCTGAGATGCACAGCTACCGGCCTGGCCTGAAATACACCTCAGGCTGAGAGCTGGGCTGGGATAGCAGGTCAGTTGATCTCCTGCAGGAAGGTGGAGCTTTTCCATTATCAGCCTAACCACGCTGCCAGTCCATTTTATTTATTTATTTTTTGAGGTGGAGTCACACTCTGTCCCCCAGGCAGGAATGCAGTGTTGCAATCTCTGCTCACTGTAACCTCCGCCTCCTGGGTTCAGGTGATCCTCCTGGCTCAGCTTCCCGAGTAGCTGGGATTCCAGGCATGCACCTCCATGCCCGGCTAATTGTATATTTTTAGTAGAGACAGGTTTTCTCCATGTTGGTCAGGCTGGTCTTGAACTTCCGACCTCAGGTGATCTGCTCACCTCAGCCTCCCAAAGTGCTGGGATTACAGGTGTGAGCCACCACGCCTGGCCACCTCCAGTCCATTCTGAAGGAACTGCTGACCAGGACTGATGATGCATTTTAGCTTTGAGCTTTTGGGGGTTCTTCTACCAACAAACAGTCTATTGGGAAGAAAACAGTCCCAGGAATGAAAAGATCAGAACGCTCACACTGGTTGATCTTTTTCTAACAATGAGCATGCAGGTAGCCGAAGCTGGTGTGTTTCCAGATGGTTCTTCTAACCAAACTAATTTTTCACTGTTGACAAGTGAGGCAAGGGTTGCACTGGACCAAAGGCCGAGGCGGGGCCATCTCGCATCCCATGCAAAAGTATCCTGTGAGCGTTCCTTTTCTCTGTTCTGTCCTGGGTCTGCCTCGACCGTGAGGGAGGAGAGTCTCCGGTGCTAGCTGCTGTGGCAGTGCCCTTCATCCAGGGCGGCTGAAGGAGTCTTGGACCCTTTCTTTCTCTGGGATCCCTGCCCAGCACCTTCCTACAGAGATGACTTTAAAAGGGGGGTGGGGGGGGGGAGGAAGAGCAACACGCCATTCCAAGGAGTCTGGCACTCCTGAGCCCTCCTTCCCTGCTGGGTGTCACCTGTCCTCACTGCCGCCTTTTCCCAGTCGTGCTCGTCAGCTCTGGCTCCTGTCCAAGCACCTGAACAGAGGACTGAAACCTCCTGCAGGCTGGTTGTAGGTCTTGATTTATGAAAGAATCTTGTGCAGCACTGCTAATGTAAATTTCAGTTTTTTTCCCTCTAGGACAAACACCAGAAAATAGCCTGTGATTTCTACCCATTTCCTGAGGCCCGTGGAAACAAACCTTTATGTACTTAAAGTTACACAGAAAATAGAATAAGGTTAATACCAAACTAGGGGGAAAAAAAGTGGGGGGTCTGCCATCATGGAGAGCCAAGCTTCTCCCGACTACTCAGGCAGCTTTTAAGCAGCAGTTCGTTTGTTCATTCATTCATTCATTCATTCATTCATTGGGTTTTTGTGGCTTGCCTACTATGTGCTGGGCAGGGATAAGAGAATTTCCAGTGGTGCTGGTCAGAGGAGGAAAATGAGATGAGCCATTAGCAAGTCCTTCCTTGCATTTTCTCTGTGGTTTTGGATCAGCTCCAGCCGCTCTCCCAAGGGGACTGGTTTTCCCCAGAGGCCTGGCCAGGCAGGACTGGGCAGCAGGCTTGTCTTTCTGAGGAGTGAGTGCAGTGCCCTTGACGCCCCTGCATGGGTGCCTGGTGATCAGTGTTAAGGGGTGCTGCCTGGAAAAGTCCTTGGGAGCCCTCTTCTTGGCTGGAGTCCAGCGCTTCCCGCTTCACCCCGGCATCCTTCACATTTGGTCCAGTTGGTTAGACTGCTGGTTCTCCGTGTAGCAGCCAGGTTCACAGTTTGACCTCGTGTGGGGCCAGGGAATTCTAGTCATGACCGTGTGTCTCATTATTGCCTGTCGCAGGACAAGTCATGTGACCTGCCAGGCCTCTGCCTTCTCACCTGTGACTGTGGCTGTTCTAAGATCTGGGAATGAGGACAGTGTCTCCATCACAGACACATGCCTGTAGAATGCCCTTTATTCTAGATCCACTGGCTCTGACTGGAGATGGGGTGGAGGGTGTCCTGCAGGGCTGGGCTGGCCGGGGGAGCCCTGTGGGCCAAGGGGGTGCATATGGCTCCCTCGGTGAGGGTCCTGCTGGCTGTGCTCCAGGGGAAAAGGTAATGAGGAGGCACTTCCACTTCCCTTTGGTATAAATCCCACAATCAGGAAAATTGCTTCAATTGCTAAAAAACGCTGGTGGGGAAGTCCATTTATTTTTCATTTTTCTCATGCACTTGCCACCCTCGTGCATGAATCACTGTCGGTATGTAGATTAAATTTATACCCCCGTTATCTTTCATGTCTCTGGTGCGCTGGTGTCAACTGGGCCTCCGGTGACTGAAAGCCTCTGCCTGCTTTTTAGTGGGAGAGAGGGTGGCTCCTGTGGAGGAGGCTGCTGAAGCATCTTCCCTCTGTTCCGGGGCCTCCCCTTGCCCTCCTCTCCTTGGATCTCTGATTAAGACACATCCTCTAGATTTAGGTGGTTTATGGGGAGGGTCTGCAACAAGCATGATGAAGGCCTTGTTTCATTTTAATTAATTAATTAATTTAGAGACAGGGTCTCGCTCTGTTGCCCAGGCTGGAATGCCGTGACACGATCTCGGCTCACTGCAGCCTCAACCTCCCTGGGCTCAGGTGATCCTCTCATCTCAGCCTCCTGGGTAGCTGGGACTACAGATGCATACCACCACACCCAGCTAATGTTTTTTTGTTTGTTTTGTGTTTTGTTTTGTTTTGTAGAGGCAGGGTTTCACCGTATTGCTCAGGCTGGGCTCAAGTGATCCTCCTGCCTCAGCCTCCCAAAGTGCTGGGATTACAGGAGTGAGCCACCATACCCGGAGTCTTGTTTCATTTTAGTACCTGCTTTGCAAATTGGCCAGGATTTGATATTAAATGTATAGGCCTATTGGAAAACACTCTCTAGTAACACACATGTAGGCTCTCTTTGTTACACACACACACGCGCACACTGTAGAGCTGGGCGCCTGGCAGCCTTCCTCTTTGATCCAGGTGACATGGTTACACAGCGGTCGTGGAGGATCTGGTTCTCACCCGTGTTCTGGGACGTCCAGAACCATCCACAGCCAACTTCGTGCTTTGTTCTGTGTCCTCAGATTCAGCCCTCTCTGTGCACATCCTTTCAAAGTATGGTGCTTTACCTCCTAATTTATTTATTCAACAAATACTAACTCTACTTTCCTGGGTCCTGGATCCCTTTGAGAATCTGACGAAAGCCCAGATCCCCTCCTGAGGCACAATTTTGAACAGCTTAGCAGGTGGTTTACAGCTTCATCCCGACCCTCAGGCAGAGAACTCCAAAGAACTGAAAACTGATAAGCATTCCAGGAATTCAGAAGCCTGGGGTCCTCCTAAGCCATGTCTCGACCCCGGATACCCCAATACCCTTCTTGTATCTATCAGAAAAGCATCCCCTGAACTACACTCTAGGCACTTTCAGGGTTACCCATGCAGACTTAAGAGAACCCCACTTCTCTCTGGGATGCCATGTTCCTGGTTGGGGGGGGTATATCAGGCCGCAGCTGGCCATGCCTGTTACAGGCCCCTGTAGCCCCCTCGGCAGGTATCATTACTGCATAAGAGACCCATCATTCTGCATTAATCTGGGATTCATCATGATAGCCATGACCATAATTAATTTATTTGGTATTAATGTGGATGAAATATGTACTGTCCTTTCAGGGGAAATCAGGCTGCCTTATAAGCATTAGTTAAAAGGACCATTAAAATCAAACCTTCCCCAGATCCATTAGGCGAAGTCTTTCATCCTGAAGAAGATAAAGTTCTGCTGTGTGAAATGTCATGAATAATTAGGTTGATTGCTGTTTTAAACTCTGCCCTTGCTTCCCCAATGCCTCCCGCCTCCCTCCTGAAGCGGGGAAGGCTCACCTGTAGCCAGGCACCCTCCGTCACTGTCACTGTCCCTGTCTGTGCTAGCCCCCAAATTTCCCTCGTCTCCTATGACCGCTGGTGTGCCTGTTTCTATGACCAGCATGGGGAAAGGGAGTAGAAACAACCCCACTGGACGATACTTTCAGTATGTCAATTTCTCCTTCCTTCCTGGCCTTGGCAGTGGGTGGCTTCTTTGGGAGAAGCTGCCTTGGTGGCAGCTGGTGGCTTCCTCTTGCCTTGGTGCTGTTCTGGAAAGGTGCAGAGGTCTGCAAGGAGAGGTCTGAAACATTTTCCAAACTGCAGTCTGTAGACTCCTTGCCCTGAATGCTGTAGGGGCTGACAAGTGCAGCTTCTGGGATCTTCCCCAAACCACCATGCCCCAGGACTGTGCATAAGGGGAGGGAGGCAGACACGGAGGGCTTTTGTGTGTGCAGGATAGAGGTGAGGGGAGAGATGGAGGCAAAGGAGAGAGAACAGCTGCTAAGGGAGCCTCGCTATGCTGACAGAATGTTTTCTCTGGAGCATGCTGTTCCCTGGTCAGGCAGGGCTTCCTCCCTGGGAGTGTGTGAAGTCTTGCGGGGTGCTTTCTACACATCAGTCTGTGGCACACACAGTTCCCTGTGAGGATGTCATCTGGGATCAACCATAAGGGTGAGGAAGCCAGGAGGTGGAGGGGAAGAGAGCCTGCTTTGAGGGGCTTAGAAAGTCCACCTGCTGCCCCTGCGAATTTAGGGGTGTTAATTGGGCAGCTGGAACCTGGGGGTATCAGCTTTGGAAAAGGTACCGAAGGGAGTCTCTAGTTCTCATCAGCTCCTTCTTTGGTGGTTGAGAGACCTGGGCACAAAGCAGTGAAGCTAGAGGGAGGCAGAGTGGACCAGACAGTAAGCTCTGGGTGGCTGGGGGGTTATGCCCACTGATTCTCAGAGTGGCAAGGTAGGAGGGAGGCTGCTCCAGGAAGTGGGGGGAAGCCAGATCCCCTGCCTCATGTGCCCTAACCCTTTCTTGCTGCCCTGACAGGCGTTTCGGCACGAAATGCACGGCCTGCCAGCAGGGCATCCCCCCGACCCAGGTGGTCCGCAAGGCCCAGGACTTTGTCTACCACCTGCACTGCTTCGCTTGCATCATCTGCACCCGGCAGCTGGCCACGGGGGACGAGTTCTACCTCATGGAGGACGGGCGGTTGGTGTGCAAGGAAGACTACGAGACGGCCAAGCAGAACGGTAAGCAGGGCCCCCCACTCCAGGGCCCCATCCGTGATGGCAGCAGGAGCTCTGCACGGTGGTGGCTGAAGTCAGGCCCCATGTTTAGCAGCCATACCTGGAAAGGCCTGGCTTGGCCCAGCAGCAGCAGCTCTCACCCTGCACACCATGTTTTTGGGCAGCCCGGGAGCTTTCCAGGATAGGGCCCAGACCGACACATTCCCCACGCTCCCCTTACAAGGCCAAGCCCAACACTTAGTTCTGCAGCCCTACCTCTGGCTTCTCACTTCGAGCTGTGCCCACAGGCCTGGGGGGTCAGGCCCTGGCTCTGAATTTGGATTTGGCCAAACCTAACCTGATAATCTGACGCATGAACACACAAAATATCAAGGTCCTTTGCCTTTGACTAGAATTTTGATCAACTCAGGGTGTTACTGTGCAAAATGGCTCTTGGTAGCTCTGGGCTTGATGAGAGAAAAAAAGTCAGCAACAATTTCATGTATCTCCTTCTAGATCTTTTCTGGACCCATACACGTGTATTACAGAGATCTGATCACATGGAGAAATTAGTTTTTTGTTCAATGAACACAGTATAAAATACAAGGGGGCTGTGGTAGTAAGGAAGCAGAGGGAACTCCTAAGGGCCCTTTAGGTGAGCCAGCTGGAGCTGGGCTTGGCTTCTGTCCATGGCAGGAGGTTGTAGGGCTTCCTGTCTCTGTGAGGACCTCCCCTACCCCCGCCCTTACAGCTCTGGGCTTTCAGGGTAGAGAGGCCTTTGACCTCCTTCCTCCAGAGACCTGGGGCCTCTGCAGACCCATCCCAAGGCTCTTTGCCTGAATGTACGAATCTGCTCTGGTGTCTTAAAACTCACTCCATGCTAGTGCCTTGGAGTCAGCTGTGATGTCACTGAAGATTAGGGTGGTTTGTCAGGGATGAACCACCACAGTAGGTGGACTCTGAGATACCGAGACACCTTTGGAAGAGATACTAAGATGGCATGACTCTCCCTGGCCTGCAGCTGGTTCTTCCCATCATAGGCCTCATTTGGACTCTGCCCACTCTCAAATCAGCATCTCCTGATGTTGTGGGTGGTTCAAGAGATGATAGAGAAAAATGTAGATTGGTCAGAATCCGGCTGGGGACGTGGGAATGACATTGTGGGGCTCATAATTTTATTGAGGAATATTTGCACCATAGTAGCCCTCTGCAGGACGACGGGAAGATGCTGGACTGGCTGTCACAAGCCAGCTAGGCATCCCCCCACACAGGAAGGTCTCCTGGCAAGCTGTTGAACTGGCTGAGCCTCGGCTTCTCAGCTCTGTGGGAGAAATCATAGCGCCTGCCAAATAGGGCTGTTTCCTGAGGTTTATATAGGATGAGGCTTGTGAAATGGGATGTCAAGTAAGAGTAGGACCAACGTGGAAGAGAAGTGCAAACAGGAAAGCGAGGTGCGTTTGAGGTTTTAAAGCAGATGAAGGTTACGCAGTGTCTCTGGCCTGTTCCCCAGGTCAGCGAGGCGGGGCTCTCAGTCCTCGGCAATCAGTGATCCTTGGAGCAGCAGGGGATCTGTCCACTGCAGAATGTCTGGCTGTCTTTTCAGGTGGTTTTAATTCCTCCTTGCTACTTTCCACCCTCCAGGCTTACAGTTCCCTCCCATTAGCCAAAGGATCTAATGGCAGTTAGTTGCACCTTAGTGTGAATGATTTTGTTCACTTGTTCCGTCTCCCTGGATATTTGCATTTGCAATATAATGAGGTTGTGTTTTATGCCAGGGACAAGTTCTAGGAGACCCTGCATCATTCAAAACTAACATATTTTAAGGCTAATTTTCCCATAGGAATTAATGTAGAGTGTGTGTGTGTGGGGGGTGGTATATTCTGAGAGCACATAAATCTATAACCAGTGAAGTGTATCTTTACCTTAATGCTACTTTTTATTTTCTCAGCATTATCTTGAATACCTTGTAGAACGCTCTCTCCTAAATTAACAGCCCCGGGTATCATGGTCTCGCCTGGCCTTCCTCAAAGCGTTTTATCACATTTAACTTCCGTACCAAAGTTATTGATTTTTGGGTACATTTTTCAGCACGAGCACTGCCACTGCTACTTAATGAATACTTGGATGACATTGTTATAGGATATAAAAAAGATTTTAAATTATAATAACAGTGAATGTTAAAATAACAGCATATTAGTCCCCATCATTGCAAGAAGAAAGTCCCGTGCGTGTGAGCAGCAGTGCAGAACCAACAGGCCACCACCCAGGATGATGGGTATGTCCCAGTGGCGCGGTCATTTGGCCGTGGCAAAAAAATTGGAAATTCCCCAGGCCAAGCTATTTTGAAATTGATTCTCAAGGAATGAAGACATTTTTGGTGACTGCATTATTTCACATTTTCTATATGGGGACTTGTGCGCGATTTCTCATTTGCATAATTCAAAGCTGCATCAGGCACTCCTGTCTAGACTCTACCAATATGCACAGAAGGGACTGACTCCTCAGAATGAAGAGGAAGGAGTTTTGGAGGTTTCCCTCTGTCTTTTGGACTGACTCTGAGTAGTGCAGTCTCTGTGGCAGGGGCTCCAGAATCCCTTCCCTTCAGGTCCAGGGCTTCAGGGAGGGAGTTGGGCCACAGCAGTTCCAGGATGAGTGGCCACACGAGAGAAGAAAACAGCCCGAGAAGGGAAGGCACGGGGCGCGTCCCCTCACTGTGTGCATGCATGTCCTGGGCACACAGCTGCTTCACTCCTCTCGGGCCTGCCAAGACCAGGGCAGGCCGTGTTGTACCCTGGGCTTCCAAGGGGAGGTGAGATACTGGCCCAAGTTACTCACTCAACAAGAACATTGAAGCCAGGTCTGCTGACGCCAGGGAGAGCCCTGTCGATGGCGAGGGCCAAATGCATAGAAAGTCCTCAGTCAACACCAGTACATGATATGTGCTAACATGTCGGTTATTATTGATCCTCAGAGAGGGATTTCTTGAATGGAAAGAACAGAGCAGAGACAGAGAGGAAGTCAGGAATGTCACAGAGACACTAAGGGGCGCACAGGTGAGCAAGCAGAGAGCGGCCCAGGCCAGCTGCCGACTTTATTCTTTGTGTGCTCCAGGGGCACTGTGCAGAGAAGGGGAGAGAGCTGGGTGCTGGGAGAAGAAACACACCTTCCCACTTACCTGTGCCACCGGACGCACCCGCGCCTCTGCCTGACGCTAAATGGAACCAACGAGACTTTAACAGGAACTTGAGCTTTTCGCTCCAAATCTGTAGAGGACTTTGTGTTCATCAGTCAATGTGTTGTCCCGCACGTACCTTAGATCAGTGTTTTTCAAAAAATTTTGACAATTCACAGTAAAAACACTCACTTTACATTTCATCTTGGTATACACATTCATACACTAAAAAGTAAACAAGTTCATGAAGCAATCCTGCTATTCTATTATTTTGTTCCATTCTCTTTATCTGATTTCCTCTTTCAGTTCTGATCCACTAAGTTGACTTTACAGCCCACGAGTGGGTTCTCACCCATAGTTTAGAAACCTGCTTAGACACTACTAGGTGTGTGAACTCACCCCTGGCTGTGAGCCCAGCGACACCAGGGCAAAGGCAACGCGGCTGTGGGGAAATGGGAGACTCCTGTTGAGAGAGAGGGGAGGGCTTCCGGGGTGGCTTTGAACGCGGATTTCACCCTGGCTGTTCACCTTCACAGCTCTGGCAGTATCTCACAAGGACGTGTGAGCAGAGTGTTTGTCATGACAGGGACATGTGTGGAACTGGGTACATTCATTCAATCTAATGGGACTTCTGTGCAACTAGGCTGGCATGGGAGGGGAGAGGCAGGGAGCTGAGCAGAGAAAGGACTGTGGTCTTCCCTTTTCAGTGGCTTGGGAAGGCCTGTGGTGCAGCAGTCGGTGCCGCGGGAGTGGGGAACCTCTTCACTCTCCCCTGTGCCTCCCACTGCCCTGCCTACAGCAGGCAGGCGTAGGTGCAGAAAGGAAGGAAGGAGGGTGGGGAAGGAGGCGTAGCTGCTGCAGCTAGGCCAAACCTAGTAAGCAGTGGTTTTTCCATGCAGATGACTCAGAGGCTGGAGCTAAGCGGCCGCGGACCACCATCACCGCCAAGCAGCTGGAGACATTAAAGAATGCATACAAAAACTCCCCCAAGCCTGCCCGGCACGTGAGGGAGCAGCTGTCCTCAGAGACAGGCCTGGACATGAGGGTCGTACAGGTGAGATGCCAGCACTCCAGTGCCCTTGGGGGATCCCAGGCCTGGGACAGGGGTGGAAGGTGTCCTGAGCAGGAAGCATGAGTGACATCACCTCACTGGTGGTTGGGCTCAGGGCCACAAACCCAGGGCTTTTGCCAGAACTGAAGGCAGAGTTCTGAGGCCAGGGAGAAGGGGCAGGGACACACTGTGCTACCAGACCGGTGCTCCCTTCCGGCTTCAGTCGGCTTCCAGCCGCCCACCTTGGGGGTCCTGGGGGCTTTGGATTCATGGTGGACCCCCGCTGAGCATGTCCCTTATGCTTGTGTGGCAGGTTTGGTTTCAGAACAGAAGGGCCAAAGAGAAACGCCTGAAGAAGGACGCGGGGCGGCACCGCTGGGGGCAGTTCTATAAGAGCGTCAAGAGGAGCCGGGGCGGCAGCAAGCAGGAGAAGGAGAGCTCTGCAGAGGACTGTGGGGTTAGTGACAGTGAGCTGAGCTTCCGAGGTGAGCAGGGCTGGAGGGGCCAGGCTGAGGCCTTAGGAAAGTCCCCTGGGAATCCATCATCCCTGGCATTCAGGAGGGATCTTTCTTAAGGCCTTGGCAACTCCCTCCTGAACACAGGCTTTTCCTCAAGGATTGCAGTGAAGGGCGGGGGAATGGTAGTGGCCCTTTACCACGTGACAGGAGTAGAAAACAAGATTGCTCAGGTCTGGACTGGAAGCTGGGACTGGGCCAGGCCCTGTTCTGTGGCCCCATGACCTCCCCCTAAGCAGCCCACACAGCTGTGAACAGATGACCCGGTCCCAGCCTTGTGCCCCTAGCCCCTCTCCTGCCTCTTCTTACCCTTTGCTGGGACACTGGCCTACTCCCAAGGTCCCCTAGAGCCAGCCGTTCCTCCAGTCCGGGTGGTGGGAGGACACGCTCCACAGGCCCTTTTTCCTGGGAAATCAGAGTTGTGAGTGCATGTGAGAGGGGGAACTGGCTTCACTTCGGAAATCCCTTCCCCCACCACTCACTTCATCTGTCCCCGCACACAAGCTTTGCAGCATGCGCTATATTCAAATTCGTGCATCAGCAAAATTACAAATTACTGCATGTTGTGAATCCTCAGGTTGTTTGCAAAGAGTAAGCGTTCTCAGTTACTGAGTTCTCAGATGTGGAAGGTCTTCTGCTGGGGTCGGGGTGGGGGTGGGGCGCGGGGAGGCAATAGTACCGAACTGGCAATCAGAGACCTGCTTTCCAGTGCGGCTCTGTCAAATCAATCACTTCTCTTGAGCCCCATTCCCATGGGGAATACCACATGTTTGCCCATCTCACCGTGTAGCGGGGATCGATGAACACAACCGACTGTGGATGTGCTTGGGGAAAGCTTGGCACATCTGTATACCTGGAAGGCCTGATTGTTCCTGCAGGGAGCCTGTGGGTCCCGCAGAGGCCTGGTCATATGACAGGTATGGGCAAAAGGCTGACTCATGGCCCTTGGACAGCGGAGCCTTTAGCTTCCTGTTTCCTTTATAGAGCATGAGCTCCCCCCGACCATTCTTTTTCATGAGGGGAACAGGGGCAGGTCTCAGAAGGGATAGGGTGTTGAAGCCTAGTCTGGGGAGGCCTTATTTAGGGATTGGTGCATAGGCCCAGGTGGAAATAGAAAAAGAAATTTGTGGGAGAGAGGATAGAACGAGTTGCTTGCTAGGACCACGATGTCCTCGGAGGACTGGAATTGAGCCCAGAGGTCAGCTGAGGCCCAGAGGTCCTCCTCCTCTCGGAACACAGAGCTGTGGGGCCCGGGGGCAAGCTCATGGGTCGAATGCTCACCTTCTAGGCCGGATGTGAAAAGCCACTCAATCTCATCTGGGCTGTTGAAGTCACCACCTAGAACATACAGGATTGTTAAGCTCATTTCTGTTGGATGCAGGCGGGTCCCTGAGCTGACCTATCATTGGTCTCTCTGGGTAATTATATAATCGTTTATTTCCTAAGACTAAAACTGCTCACCTCTGTTGGAGAGATGAATTCTTTCAAATGGCAAAGACTCCATTAGATCCCTTTAATGAAATTCTTCAAGAAGGTCCATTTGCCTTAATCAAGTCAATTCTTTGTCCCTAATGAAGAGCTTATTGAATACAGACAGAAAGTCCTCTGATGCTGAACGTCTCTTCCAGACAGGGCCAGAAGGATTTTGTACAGATGTCTAAGAGTCATCCTCAGCTGCCCTGACCATACGGGCCTACTTGCTTCCCAACCAACTAACCAAGCCCTTTCTCAGCTTGAAAGCTTTCAAAGTAAATCTTACCCACGTGTAGTTTCCATTTGTGACATGGAGAACACCTGCCCCACCCAGTCTTAGGCATCCTCCTCAGGGAAATTAGCACGAGCCACTTGGGACCGACAAGCTCAGCAAACATTTGTCCATCCCTCTGGGACCTGGGGGTTTAGTCTTTGTAGCTGTCTTACCTGGGCTGACCTCCGGATGTCAGGCTGCCACATCGGTGTGTCTGATCCGTGCTTGGCTGCAAGGCTGCTGCCGTCCTTGGGCATCTTCCTGGTCACGTGTATTCCTAGGTTGTGAAGAGCAGGGACCATCGGAGTCCTGGTAGCTGACAATAAATCTCCGTTCTTTTGTCCACAGAGGATCAGATTCTCTCAGAACTTGGCCACACCAATAGGATGTATGGCAACGTGGGGGACGTTACAGGCGGACAGTTAATGAATGGGAGCTTCTCCATGGACGGGACAGGACAATCCTATCAGGACTTGAGGGATGGGAGCCCCTATGGAATCCCCCAGTCTCCATCCTCCATATCGTCCCTGCCATCCCACGCTCCTTTGCTCAATGGGCTGGATTACACGGTGGACAGTAATTTGGGCATCATTACGCATGCAGGGCAGGGAGTAAGCCAGACGCTGAGAACCATGGCTGGGGGACCCACCTCTGACATCTCCACAGGAAGCAGTGTAGGCTATCCTGACTTTCCAACTAGCCCAGCCTCTTGGCTCGATGAAATGGATCCTCCTCCTTTTTAAACTTCTGTCCTCCCCACCCTATCATCTGTCCTCCTGGCTTGAGAGAGTATCTTCAAGGATCAAAAGAGACTTGCCTTTTAAGGATCAAAAGTACGCCAATGTGAATTTCCATTATTTTCAATGGAAGTCCTCCGCTGATTCCTAGAAGGCTGTGAGATCACGCTAGGGCACTGTTTTCCTGGGGAAGCAGCGGGAGAGCAGCCTTATCTCAGAACACAGCACAGCGGGTAATGGCCTAGAGCTCTAGGGACGCTGGCTTGTTGGGTCTCTCCCCTCCTGTTCTGCTTATGGGCTTGGCTGCTCAGTGCTTTGGTAGCACAAGGTGACTGTGATAGGCCCCCCCTGGCCTTTGGGAACTTTGCTCCAACTGGTGTGTTTCACGCAATGCCTCCCAAAACACTGCTTCACCAGAACTGAGATTCCTGAGGTAGAGGCCTCCCAGCCCTTGAGTAAAATAGAAGTGATTTCTGGACTACCCTTATTGAACCCTATATCTCAAAATAAAAAGGTCAGTTATTAAAGGTCAGTGAACACTTTCATGGCCACAGTTTGATATTAAAAACATGTCCCTCTTTTTTTTTTTTTTTGCTGTGAAAATATGAATTCTCTCCTACAAAGCAGAGAATATGAGTTTGTTTTGGTTTTTAAGTCCCTTATGTATCGCTGACTCTGATGGCAAGAGGTGGTTTTCACTGCAGGTGACTGAGGCTGAGCTGAGTAGCCCTGGGGCACCACTGCAGACTGCCTGATGAGTCCCCTTGGTGCACAGTGTGCCTTCTTCACTTGCTTGTATTATTTCTTCCACAAGATAGGCTGTGGGCTACACAATGAGCAAAACTAAAACGCAGGGAGAACAGGATGACAATCAGTGAACATCTGTAGACACATTTGGATTCCACACCTGCAGTCTGTTCAGCCGTATCAGCAAATGCCAATCTTCCAGAGTCCCCCATCCTACTGGGGTGAAATATTTGGAGTCCGTTTTGAGGGAGTTGGTTTAGATGAGCTTGCAAGTCTACCCCTGTCTCCTTAATGAAAGCTTTCTCTGCTGTCCTGTCTGACTCAATTGGAGGACAGTTTTGGTCGTTTCCAGGAACCAGCGATGGTTTTTTGGCCTATGTTGGTTGGGAAGAATAATTCGGGGAGCAGCCCTAAAATTGTCCGAAGGGTTCTAAGTGGTCCTTGGGCTGCATCTCTCTTGATTGCTGGCTGGACACCTGCCATGCTTTGGGCTGCAGTTCCATGGTCAGAAAGCCAGAGCTCTCTAGCCAGCGGTGGTGCAGGGACTCCCTGTTGTATGGATTTGTAGTAGCACGTCACTAAGCCTAAGGCCAGGACAAGGCCAACCCCTGCTTTACCAGTTGCCACTTCTGTGACAGTGCACTGCTGTGGGAAACACTGTTCTGAATGGTGCTTCAGCTCCCACTGTGTGCACCCATCTGCCATCAGGAAGCTCTCCATTTGCAAACTGGAATTTAGCCAGCTGGAATTGATTCCTGTCCCTATGGAAAGCTGTGGTTTGCTTCTTCTGGCCTCCCATTCTCTTAAATGAGATCAGCAGAGTGGAAAAGGGTGAAAAGGCACTGCCTTTCTATCACATGAAGTGATGGGGCCAGAGACCCTATGGACCCTTCCTTCTGTGAATGGTTGGTCACCTTTTGAGGACTGCACAGATTCAGGCCTGTCGTAGGCAGACTAAAGGAAGAATACACAGTTCCTCTTGGGCTGCTGCATCTTTTCTAAGCCCCCTTCCAGGACGAAACTGAGTTCTTATTTAAGCTTCTTTCAAACAGTAAATTCTGGGATCAGCCTTCAGGCCACCTCTTCTCTGACCAATTTTATAGCGTACCCTTGTTTTTTGGTGAGCTGCAGTGGTCACGATTTTTGCTTGAGGAGTCTGCAAACGTAGATGCTTTTCTTGAGGTTCCGTGTTTATGGATGATGGTGTGTTAAGCCTAGCCAATTCTGTGTTATTGGAAATTCGGCAATCATGTGAACATTGGGGTGGGGAGGAAGACACAAATGCAAGACAACAAGCCATGTGAGGAAAAGAAAATGCAATTGTCTCTTGGAGGATGGCTTTTTAAATATACATGTCTTAGGAGGCTGCTCAAAATACACAGGAGAAAAGGCTCTGCTGGGCAGTGAGCCAGTTGAAAAGCTACCCTCAGATCAATGTTGCAGGTTGACTATTTGGCTGACCAACTCATGGATTTCAGGGGCCCTTGATGTTTTTGGTGAGTACAGTGTGGGGGACAGCAGACTCTTTAGAGAGGGGGCATCCTCTGTGTAGCACTGTTTAAGATCACTGTGTAAGTTTATGAGTTTTTGTTTCTGTAAGTTAATCATACTAATTCCCAGTTCAATAGTGGAAGAAGGAGAGGCCTTACTCATTTGTACTAATATAATAAACCTCTTGAGGAACTCAGTCAACAGGTAACGAGATCAAGAGTTCTTTGGCATCAGTAGGGCTTGGTAGCTCGAAGAACCCTTGAGAGCACTGGCCTGAAAACCAGGAGAGCTTTATGTTTTCCAGAGCCACCTCCCCAGAATGCAGCAAACATTGTTGCCTGTTTAGAAGCACAGTCATGGTAGGTCTAAGATTTTTGCAGGTGGAGTTAGCATTATGGGTGGGCAGGTTCCACTAACGAGCCTCTGCATGACAAGACTGTTCCTTGGCTCTTCTGGAGTTTGCAAATGGAGAAGAGCAGGGCATTCATTACCTTTAGCTTCTCTTGGAAGCACTCCTCTGTTGCATGGAAGTTCTATTATGGGGTATAACGTGCTACATGGTAGCTGTTTTCCCCTTGCTAAAATGTATGGATGAATTTTAAAAATGAAATGAGACCTTCTAGAGGCATTCACAATATTTTGCCCTGTTTTTGGCTCTAAGACAGCAGTTAACTAACCATCATTATCTGCAGAGCGTGGCTTGCCAGTTTTAGAGTAGGATGCTCTTGAATCCAGGAGCAAATTATTTAAAACCTCAAGTTCCAGTGGTAACTGGTATAAGCAAATATGGAAACTGAGGGGCATTGGAGGAATCTACATTTGTTGAAAGGTAATGAAACCAAGGAGGAAATACCAGGTTTAAGGGCTAAGCTGGCCCATTGGGTAAATCACATTGTTGGGAGTAGGGTTCTTGGCCTTTCAAGGACTTGCTGTGCAACCTCAGGCAAATTCCTTTCAGTCTTTGTGCTTTCTCTTTCTTGTCTCATCTGACAGTTATGAATATAATGTAAAATAAAGATCAACTATCATATTGCTAACATTGTTCCTGCAAATGAATACTGTGAAACATCAGGGAAAGAAGAAAAAATTAAGACTCGAGAAAAGCATTTAGCAGTGTCCTTAAAATTTTTTTCCTTGGCCAGTGTAAAACAGGAAACCTAGTAAGGTCATCTGGCCCTTAGGTCTTCATCATTAAGTTAACTTTGCAAGGAAGTGTAAGAAGTCTGTAAACAAAAGACACTCCTATCTCTGAAGCTCAAGCTGGTGATTGCGAACTGCCTCCTTATGGGAGGGATTCAAGGCGTCCAATTAGAAAAGCTGTGTGCTGTATGACCGTCCACCCTCTGGAACCTACGCTCTCACATGCCACGACTGACAACTCGGTCATAACCGTGAAAATAATGACCGTAGCCAGCAGGGTCTGGAGGGCCTGAGGAGGCTCATTTTTAAACATTGCACTTTAAAAATTGGAAACCGTGAGATGAAGAAAAATTCAATTAAGTGGAAATGAGTTTTATTTTATTGCCTGCTGCTGAAGGGCTCTGGGCATGCCGAAAGCTAAATAAAAAGCACATCACTGGCTCTCTCTTTCTTGGATTGGTCAATTGGCCCTTTTTGCAGTAGTTGCTCCAACTGCTCTAAACACAGTGACTGGAGCCAAAAAGAGAGAGCTCAGCAAAGTCATCCCATCCACACTCTGCTTGGTAGGACCACACTAAAAGCACAGTTTCATGCTGCTAGCTCTGGTGAGGAGAAAGCTGCAGGTTTGGGAGGTACACCAAGCATTCCTTTGCTTAGGGAGGCAGGAGCACAGGTGAACAGAGGAAGGACACCCCCTCTCTCATCTGTTGCTCACCAAGAGGCAAGAATCACACCAACTTTCCCACTTGAGGACTGTGTTCAGCCAAACAAGCAGGTTCAGGGATGTGGGATTCCAGAAGTTGCTCTGAGCTTGCAGTCAGACCTCAAAGCCCCAGATCCCCTCAGCTCTGGATTGTTGCCCTCATCCTTCACAGTGTAAATTTTGTACAGTTGAAGAGAAATGAAATCTCATTTCCTGGAGGAAAAAAAAAAAAAAAAACAAAAAACGGAAAAAAAAAAAATAAAAGGACCCACTTATCCTTATTTATTGCCATGTGACTTTGGAAAACAGAAGCTGGTGCGTTTGTTTGTATACGCCTCCTGTGTGTTGGCATGAGATGTACACGGTAAAATTATGTAAAATAAATATGGAAATTCTTTAGATGCTGATGTGTCTTGCTTTTCATTTGGTTTGCTGGAAATTTGTTCTCTTGACATAAATAGAATAAAAACTGAGTGATATGGGGTCTTTTTTATCATCAGAAGGAAACCAAAAGTACAACTCTGAATGCCAGAACTATTATACTTACAGCCATGAAATAGCAGAACCACTCAATAAAGGATTGATGAGGAGAAGTTCCCTGGTTTTTCTAGTAGCCATTTCCTGGGCACAGTCCTCTGTCCCCAAATGAGTGACTGGAGCCAAACATTTCAGCTTAGTAAATGAGCTGAACAAATGCTGACCATATAATTTTTAGTTACTGTTTGTTTAGTGGCATTTTATCTTACTTTTTGAGACAGAGTCTTGCTCTGTTGCCCAGGCCAGAGTGCAGTGGTGTGATCTCAGCTCACTGCAACCTCTGCTTCCTGAGTTCAAGTGATTTTTGTCCCTCAGCCTCCAGAGTAGGTGGGATTACAGGCGTGCGCCACCATGTCTGGCTAACTTTTTGTATTTTTAGTAGGCAGGGGGTTTCGCCATATTGGCCACGCTGGTTTAACTCCTGACTTCAAGTGATCCACCCACCTGGACCTCCCAAAGTGCTGGAATTACAGGTGTGAGCCACCGGGCCTGGCCTGTCCAGTAGCATTTTAAAAGTCTTTCACACCTATACATTTTTCTTTCTAGAGAAAGTACATGCAAGTGTCTATATTTACAGAGGAACAGAAACACCTCATCAGAGTCATCAGGGCTCCTGGACAAACATTTTCTAGGAAAATCTCCATTTACGTTTTTTTTCTCAGCAGGGGGCTTTATCAGGGTGCAGACCCTAAGTTTAGCTAGAATGGAAACAGCAACAGAGACTTTTTCATTACATAAAAAAAAAAAAAAAGTCATAGCATTTCTTTACAGCGGGGATTCCACTGTGGAAAAGCTGCAGGGTACTTCTTTTCCCCATTAGTCATCAGTTCTGTTTGGCTGAGAAGATCCAAAGCAGTGGCG